TCCAGTATCCCAAGCTTAAAGACTTTATGAAAAGAAACTGAGAGGAAATGGCCGAGACCTTCATAGCACAGTACTCCTACAATACTCAGATCGAGGTCACTACTCACGATCTCGAAACGACCCGTCAGGAGCCAAAAGAGGGTTTTTCTAATTTTGTGACTCGGTGGAGGGCTAAGGCCTCCATGATGACTATTTGGGCATCCGAGAAAGACCAAATTAGAATGGTGGTCCGTAACTTGCAAGGAAGACTATTACAGAAAATGATAGTCTTGCCTTTATTTACATTTGCTAAGCTCCATGAAATAAGGGTGCAAATTGAGGATGCAATGAAGTGGGGTCTGATAGACCATGAGAAAGAACAACTCAAAAGGTCCTTTATATGCAGCTCTAATGCAACCACAATGGGTGACACTTCTACACGACCTTCGGATGTGAGCATGGTCACCACTACACCCAAGACTGCCAACCCCTTTGCTGGTACATCCAACATAACTTTGTAAACCTCAAGCCATCAGGCCCGAGGCCCGAGGGTCTTCATCCCGCTTTATATGTCCTTATCCAAAGCCCTAAGGGTCCTGATCAAAAAGGGACATCTTAAGCTGTTAGAACAATGCCCACTGCCCGATCCTCTCCCTTCGAAACATAACCCGGCCAAATACTGTGCTTTCCACCAACAACATGGTCATGATACTGATCAGTGCTTCAAATTACGTCATGAGATTCAAGATCTCATTGACAATAAGGTGATAGTACTGCCTGAAAAACCCAATGTCACTACAAATCCTCTCCCACCACGTAACCAAGCCCCTCCACCCTGGCAAATAAACCTTATCTATACATTGGCCGTCCCTTACAACCCCAGTATATACATCACCCCCTCCCATCTACCTAAGCCAGCGTTGTTTATCCCTGAGAGCACAGACTTGTGCATGATGAACGCGTACTTACTCCAATCTGAACCCGTGGTAGTGACAGTGGAAGATGAAGAGAGGTTAGCCTTGGTGGAGAATGCCAGTCCGTTGCCCAAGAGCTTTGAGGATTTGTCTAGAGGAACATACGACCCAAGCTGCTATGTTGTGCCAATCAATCAAGCTAAGCCAGAAATAGTGCTGTCGACTGGAATAGAGGTTAGTGTAGTCCGAGAAAATATACCAAGTCCGGGATTAGATGATCTGGCTGACCTGGAGGAAGATATACACAATTTTCAGTTCTTTGATGAGCAAGATCAAGGGGACATGCACATTAACTGGTTTGATTTGAACGGGTCAACAGACAATTCCGGGTAGCTAAATGATGAACCCAATGTAGCTGAGGGAACTGAACCGAAGCTTGGAGAATAGAAAGTGGGAACCACTGTAATGGCCGGAAAGGGAAACTACCGAAAGGCACTAGTAAAGAATAGCTGACTCAAGAATTGGGCATTGTTAGAACTGTACATACAGAACAAGAAGCCGTACTGGAGCTGTTTGGGCAGGAAATGAGCAAAAGTGATCAGAAAGCTGGAATAGCTCAACGCCTCGCGGGAAATGTTTCTACTGAGGGAACGCTTAGACTGGAACCGGACAATTGCTTGTCGGTTACCGGAGGAATGTGGTGGGAAGATGATGATCTGCATCTTGCCCACACTGATTAAGATTGGGGTGAGGGCCTTCCTAACAATACCTGGTATGTGCAGGAAGTCGACCATATGACAAGAAGTGGCCGATATTTCAAACCACTACATCTAGACCAACCCGAGGCATCCGAAAAGGATAAAGAAGTCGAGGGGCAGAAGGAAAAGAGGTTAAAAGAAGAGGTTGTGCTGAAATAGTTGAAGAAAATTCAGGCCGATATTTCTATCTGGGGTTTGCTCATGGCTTCACGAGTGCACAGACAAGCTGTACTGTCGGCAATGAATAAAGCCAAGTTGTCTATTGTGACTACCTCGGAACAACTGGTGGGATTAGTCTTCCTAGGAGGCGCTGCGCCAACTTTGACCTTTTCCGACAAGGAGTTACCGCCAGAAGGCTATGCACACAACAAGCCTCTATACATATCCGTAGAGTGCCGGGTCAGCAATCAACGTCTGCCCATACCGCACGGCTTATGCTATTAGCCTGAAACCTGCCGATTTTGGTGCCTACAGCCCAGGTGATCCGGGGGTATGACAATACAAGCAGAGAGGTGATGGGAACAGTGCAGATCAGAGTGCAAGTTGGACCCGCACAACAGGATATTGAATTCCATGTCCTGGACGTTGCAGCCACTTTCAACCTACTAGTTAGGCAACCCTGGCTACACCAAGTAAGAGTTGTCTTTTCCACCCTCCACCAAATGCTCAAGTACCCCCATGGAAAAGAGGTGGCCATAGTCTTCGGGAATTCATCTATACATCCTCTGCCAGAGGTCACTACGCCTCCGTTGGAGATTGTGCATGGCGAAGAGGATGTGTTTATTTTGGAGTTTACCTTGGCTGAGGCCCGGGTAGTGCAGAATATCTTGGCTGTTGATGAGAGGTTATATGTCAGTGCCCAATCTATATATCTCATGAACAAGTTACAACACATGCCCGGAATGGGATTAGGTAGGAGTGACCGGAAGGGCGTTACTGCATTAGCCGATGTGCCACATAACCCTCATGCCTTTGGTCTTGGCTATACGCCCACCGAAGAGGATTGGGTGAGAAAGGGAAAAGAAATGGCTAGAAGATCCAGAGCAAAGCAAAGCAAGAAACGCTACGAGCTTGTGCACCGACTAATCCGGGGATCAAATAGTGGTTTCCCCGAACCTTGGTTCAACTCTGAGAAACAACAGGTTCCCGACTTTGAGATTTTCTTCGACTTGCAATTCCTAGAGAGCGACGTAGAGGAACAGGGTGAACTAACTGTTGAGACTGCAAATAGCACAGAAAGTGATTTCGACAGCAGTGAACTTGAGGTAGGAGCAGCACTAGCATGTCTCCTTTTGGATCCTCAGATCAACCCGGAGAGCTTGAGGGATGAACTAACCGTTTCCATGATCGGAGACCAATCAGGTGTGGACCCTTGCAGTGGTATCTTGGATGCATCTGACACACCGTCCTTCACTTGGTAACTGGAGGAGGGCTTCCTGTCCAATAGCTCTGAGTTAGGTAGTGAACCAGAATCTGATTCCACAGAGTCTGTGGCATCAGAATCAGATTCCAATTCATCTGAGTCTGGGTCCAGTATTCATGGGGTTGATAACCCCGGATGCTGAAGTTTTGTCTAGATCGCCTTTTTCCTTTTCTTTTGAGTCGGTTGTAACCAAGGAACTGGATGAACTGGACTTTGTGAATGAGAATGCCACTGCAGGTTTTAAGTACTTCTCTGTGCCACTTGTATATTGCATTGATCATGACTTTCAAAATTTTAGTGAAAATGACGAGGAAGGAATTCCTTTGGTTTTGAAACATTTGATTGATCGGGAAGACGAGAGGTTTGTAAAGCCCCTTGTTGATGAAATCATTCCAATTAATACAGATACTGAGAAGGATTCGCGTCTGGTCCAGATCGGGTTGCATGGTCCTACGAAGACATGCCTGGAATCGATCCTGAGATTGTACAACACCAGATCCCTCTTGACCTCTAAGCCCAATCCGTCAAGCAAAAGCTTTGGAGAATACACCCTGATTGAACCTTGAAGATTAAGGAAGAGGTCACCAAGAAAATAGACACAGGGCTCTTGTTGGTATCTGAGTATCCGACTTGGTTGGCCAATATTGTTCTGGTGTCGGAGAAAGATGGCAGAATTCGAGTGTGTGTGGATTTCAGAGATTTGAACAAAGCTAGTCTGAATGATGACTTTCCTCTACCGCACATCGATGAATTGGTGGACTTCACCGCAGGCTATGCGTTACTCTCCTTCATGGATGGATTTTCTGGGTATAACTAGATTCTGATGGCACTTGAGGACAGAGAGAAGACTGCCTTCACCACGCCGTGGGAAACCTACTACTACAGGGTGATGCCGTTTGGTTTGAAAAATGCTAGGGCCACTTATCAATGGGATACAACCACAATCCTACATGATATGATCCACAAAGAAGTCAAGGTATATGTGGATGACATGATTGTCAAATCTAAGGAAAGAGAGGGCCATTACACCGTCTTAAAGAAATTCTTCCAACGGAGCAGAGTATACCGGTTGAGGCTGAATCCACAGAAGTGCACTTTTGGCGTAACAGCATGGAACATGTTGGGTTTCTTGATCACACAGAGGGGCATCGAGGTAGATCCTTCCAAAATCAAGGCCATTCTAGAAAAGCCACCACCAAGGACTGAAAAGGAGGTGCAAGGCTTTCTGGGTAAAGTGTAATTCATAAGACGGTTTATTTCAAAATTAACCTTAACTTGTGAACCACTATTTGATCTCCTGAAGAAAGGAAAGAAACTCCAATGGGATAACCGATGTCAATTTGCTTTTGAGAAGATCAAGTAGTACCTTCAGAACCCACCCATGTTGTCGCCACCAAAGTTGGGGAAAGCCGTTGATTCTGTATCTGTCAGTAACGGACACAACGATGGGATGCATGCTTGCTCAGGAATCGGAGGATAGAGTAGAGAAGGCCATCAATTACCTAAGTAAGAAGATGCTGGATTATGAGACTTGTTACACCCCGATGGAGAAGGCTTACTTAGCCTTGGTATGGGCTACCAGGAAGTTGGGGCACTACCTGTTAGCTCACTTTGTAATTTTGGTTTCGAGATTAGATCCCATCAAATATCTCTTCGAGAAACTAGCGCTTACGGGTAGGCTAGCCCGTTGATTGCTTCTTCTCTCCGAATTTGATCTAAAGTATGTCACTCGCAAGTCTGTCAAGGGGAGGGCAGTAGCTGAGTTCTTCGCATATCACCCAGTGGAAGGGGATGAAGTGGTAGAATACCTGTTCCCAGATGAATTTATTTTGTAAGTCGAGGAAGAGATTTGGACAATGTACTTTAACGGAGTGTCTAACTAGTACGGTTATAGGATAGGGGTGTTGCTGATATGTAATAAGCCGACCCTCGTACATGATTCTGGTATCTTTTCAGTCCTCTATTCTGTGCCTTTGAATGCTTATTGTGAAGTTCTATGTGAATTATGTTAATTAAGTGAATCTTGGGAATATGAATTCCTATCTGTTTAATACGAAAGATATCTGTTACAATTAAAATGCTTGGTTCAAAAATTGAAAGCCTTAGAGGCTGAATTATCTGAAATTGATTTGACATTTGAAATCTGCATGATTTTTAAGTTGTAACGAGATTTTCTGTGAAATTTCAATTTGGGATGATTAAACGATTGAATTTTGTCCTTATTTGCCTTTAGATATACATATATGCTTATGTTCCTTACATGTTTAATTCAAGAACTTTGTCTAAAACTATCTCTTAAGAAGAGAATGGTGAGAAGTAGAGAGAGAGGATCTAGAGAGGTTCATCAAAGGTTAAAGATTAGAAGAATTGAAGGGAGGTTTTTGAAAAGTTGAAGCTCAAAAGTAAGTTTACCCATCTTCCATAGCTCCTCTCTAGAATTAGAGTAAGATTTCTCACAATTGTGTAACCTAGGGCATAGAATTGAATTTAATGTATGAACATTGTTTAACTTCGTTTCTATTTTGTGAAGTGATCTAGAATTAAGTTGATTATGTTTAAATAAAAGAACTATCTTTTGTTGGTAGATTTCCCATGTAAAACTTATATAGTTTTGTCTATATGATGTTCTAAGTTAAAGTAAGTGAATCATGTTCTTAGGTGGTGGATTAAACATCTAATTCATCTCAAGTGTTACATGTTGTGCCTTCTAATTGTATGATCTTTAAGTTATATTTTGGTAATTAAAGGATCTAATTTAGGCCTTGTTGATACTCACCAAAGATGGGTTTTATATGAAATTCGGACTGCTCACCCAGGGAAATCGCCGCACATGCGGGGGTTATGGCCGCACGTGCGGGAACAACTGCCGCACGTGCGGGAGTCACGGCCGCACGTGCGGGGAAAATGGGAAATTTGGAGTTTCGGTTCTGTCTAAAAGGCACGTGCTGGAGGATTTTGCCGCACGTGCGGGAGAGTTTGCCGCACGTGCGGGGCTCATAGCCGCACGTGTGGCCCGTGCTGGGAAAAATAGTTTGCTCCGTTTTACGTGCTGGACCCTCGGATATTTTTAGAATTTGTATTTTATGCCTACTAATATGTGTAAAATTCATTTGAAGTGAAATGAATTAAGAAGAGATTTAACAAAGAGGAATGAACTAATTTACAAGTTGTGAATATGTGTAGGACACACTCCGGGAGGAACTAGCACGTCATCATAATGCTGTGAGTAATAGTACTGTAATCGCACATTTGATTATCGTTAATAATTCTTTTTATTAACGCTCTGCTCTTCACAAGTAGTTATGTTAGCCTTATATTGATTAGGAATCGGCGTGAACATTGAAAGATTTTGGCGTACATCGGTACGGCTCTGAACCTACTCTGTATTTTGGATAAGGTTAATGATCATCGTTAATGTACCAACTTATAAATGTACCTACTTGTAAATTACCCGTGATTCCGTATAAGAATTGCATACAACCATTACACTATTACGTGGCTCATGTAATGGTACCTTTACCTCCGGATTAGTGTTACTATAACGTTCTGTCAATTGCAAGACAAGTATGTCGATTTACAATGAACCATGAGGAAATCTAAACGTGTCCTTGGGCCATACGTTGATTACTATTGATCGTTAAGGTTAACATTCTGTTATCTGCTAACTCGCAATATTGAGTCATGACAAGCAAATGGAATGTATGTGCATTATGAAATTAAGGTATTATGTATCTCCGAATTATTATTAATTATCTAACGCAAACTAGCTATGTTAACTCATGTGAATGATTGGAAGAATCCATGTGCCTTTGTATACCCTGGGACTAATAATATACGTGTTTTATGTTAATGTTCTGATATACATAAGACAATTATGTTAACCTGCAATAAACCATGAGGTTATTCCGTTCTGTTTTTTCGTCCCATTCATACTGTGATATGATATGAATTGTTCGGTCTTAAAGACCTAATATTTTCTGGTATGGAACAAAGTGTTGTACGGAACTAAGTGCTGCAATGCGAGTCACCTCTAGAATTCGTACGAGCCATCTCTTGAGTCCATACATATGTGAACTGGGCTTAAAGCCGATGTGAAAGTTATGAGGCCTATGGCCATTCTGCATGATCTGTACTATGAAACAAAGTGCTACGCGGAACTAAGTGCTACGATGTGAGCCACCTCTAGAGTCCGTGTGAGACACCTCTTGAGTTCATACAAGCATGTTAAAGGGCTTTATGATGTTCTGTTATGGGCTTTATGCCATTTTGTTAAGGGCTTCATGCCATTCTAGCAAGGGCTTTATGCCATTACAAGGGCTTTATGCCATTCTGACAAGGGCTTATGCCATTACAAGGGCTTTATGCCATTCTGATAAGGGCTTCATGCCATTTTATTAAGGATTTCATGCCATTCTGTTAAGGGCTGAAAGCTACTCTATTTAAGATGGGGCCCAAGGCCGTTCTGTAAAAGATACTTTTGTATAAATGATTTTGAAAATGACTATGCTATACAATGTTTAATGAAATCCATGTTTTGGGTTACGAAATGTTTAATATGATAAGGATTTTATGAAATGATAAAAATGCTATGAACTTCCGGCATGTTTATGTTATGATACGATTTCTGGATAATTTTCCCAAAATGCCTAGATATGCTACGAAACTCCGAATGTTCAAGATATGACAAGTTTTCTGAAGAAGATACTTTGCTATGCATATAGAAACAAAGTAACCATATGTTCTCTTTATTGATAAATGCCCGGATATGTATTATAATTCATTTTGAACATTGAATTGTTATGTGCTATTATTCACTGAGCTTGGCTCACTTTATTTTATGTCTGTTTTTGTAGGCACTCAACCTGGAGGTCAACCTTAACCTGTGGCTTCCGTTACCCAGTTGTCAATCCCTGAGTATTTAAACTCTTAGATGTTGACCGTTCAAGTTATGGAGTTTGCTAAGTTTTAAGTTGTACCCTAAAAGTCTGTTAAGATTGATGTGTATGTAATCCGTTTAGTTTCTCATGTTTTCGTTATACGCCCGACCTTGAGGGCTGGGTCTGTATGTGTATACGTACATGGCTATCTTCAGACGCACGTCACTGTAAACTTATCTGCATTATGTTCTGTTTGTGATCCTGGCATAGTAGTAGTAGCTCAATGGATATTATTTTACGTTATTATATGTTATTAAATGCTTCCGTTCAGGCCCCATAGGTTATATTCATCAAGTTTTTGTGTCCGTTTCTGAGGTGGTCATGCCCAAACTTTTAGGGGCGAGTTTGGGGTGTGACATGATAGCTCCGGACAATTCCCATATACCTTTAGCTTTCAAACTCCAGTTCAAAGTATCCAGTAACAAGCCAGAATACGAGGCGTGTATCACTGGATTGGAAGCCACCCTAGAACTAAGGGCAAAAAGGTTGGACGTCATTGAAGACTTGAACCTGGTTGTGTCTCAAGCAAAAGGAGATTGGAAGGTCAAAGAAGAAAAGATGAAATCACCAGACCTTGGACATTCTGATTCCTAGGTTTGAGAAACTAACCTTCACGCATCAACTAAGAGAGAACAACAGGTTCGCTAACACCTTATCAACTCTATCTTCTATGATAGACATTCTATTTGGAGTCTGGATGCGTCCGATCATTATTGAACAGAGATATACGCCAACCTACGAGTTGATCGTCGCAGTAGATGAAGTACAAGATCAAAACCCCTGGTATTATGATATTTGGAACTTCTTGGAAAATGAGATTTATCCACTAGGGGCAAATGCCAAAGATAAAAGGGAAATATGGCGGATGGCCGTTCAATTTATCATTTGTAGGGGTAAGTTGTATAAGAAGGGTCATCTGGGAATGCACAAGCTGTGTGTTGACGCAGAAGAGTCGAAACACCTAATAGAGGCCATCCATGGGGGAGAGTGTGGAGCACACATGAGCGGAGTAATGTTAGCCCGAAAAATTCTCAAGCAAGGTTACTATTGGTCTACCATGGAGGAGGATTGTATTGGTCTTGTTAGGCGATGCCAAAAATGCCAAATTCATGCAAATCGCGTGAATATCCCGTCATCGAAGCTGTACAACATGACTTCACCATGGCCTTTCTCAGTCTGGGGAATTGACGTCATTGGGGCAGTTACACCAAAAGGGTCAAATGGGCATAAGTATATTATGGTGGCAATTGATTATTTCGCGAAGTAGGTGGAAGCTCAGTCTTATGCAGTGTTAAAAGCAGCGCATGCTAAGTTCATCTGCAACAACATTATTTGCCATTATGGAGTCCCGAATGAGATCATTTTAGACAATGGCTCCCATTTCGAGAAAGAAGTGATCGACTTGTTAAAGAAATACAACGTGGCTTTTCATAAGTCATCTACATGTCGGCCACAAACCAACAGAGCTGTGAGGTTGCTAACAAGAACATCAAGCACATTCTGCAAAAAATGGTTGAGATCTATAGGGACTAACCAGACAAATTGCCATTTGCTCTCTGGGGCTACAGAACTTTAATTCGGACATCTACTAGGGCAACTCCATACTCTCTTATTTATGGGATGGAAGCTGTTCTGCCAATTGAAAATAGAGGTTTCATCGCTGCGGGTGATGGCTGAGTGCCAGATAGCAGAAGCGGATTGGTAGCAGAGCAAGTTCGAGGAACTGATGTTGTTCGATGAGAGGAGACTAAAAGCACTGTACCATGTTCAAGGTTATCAATGCAGGATTGCCAGGGCTTTTAACAAGAAAGTTAAGTCTCGGAATCTTAAGGAAGGGGATTTGGTACTGAAAGATAGTCGAGATCTCATCCATGACCCAAGGGGCAAGTTCAGACGTAATTGGACTAGTCCTTACATCATCAAAACCATTTGGTCGGGTGAAGTTGTTATTCTTATGGACTTGGATGGCCTAGAATTTTTCCAACCAATCAACATGGACAGGTTGAAGAAACATTACCCCTGAGTGGCTCGCTAGGCCGAAAACCCAAAAGGGCGACCTAGGCAAAAATTAGAGCATAAAAAAGTTAGAAAAAAGACAAACTGAGCTCGCAAGGTTGAAAACCCAGAAAGGGCGGCCTTGGCAAAACTTAGAGCGCATAAGGAGAGCGTTAATACCCGAGCAAACCCCCACCGAACTATGTAAGGCCTGATTCCCATCTTCGGGATACGTAGGTAACTTCATTCTGAAGTCTGACTGTAAACACCTCCAAATCAACTGTGTCCATATGTTTGCTCAACTCATCCTTGTCTGTTCGTTATTTGAAAGATCGGTTGTGATCCTTACCCTAAGAGAAGAGCTGATTATAGTGCTGAAACCAAGAGTTAGCTTAAGGCATGAGAGAGATGTCATGTCATTGATAATGAACCCCTAAAAGGGGTTAAACCATTAAGCATGACAACCTCAATCTCAAGCTTAAAAGAACAATAGGTTTGAAACAACTCTCAAAGCAAAGCAAAGGTTAAGAAAGGAGAGAGGATGCAGAGGTGATTAAAGGTGATCATAAGTAAGGAAAGTATGAAATAAATGCTATACAATTGCACTACAAGCATACAATACAAGGCTCAAACGCAATGAACACTTACAAACAGTCCTAAAACAGTGCTAAATAAGTTCTAAAACATGCTGGAATTAAAACAAAAATAGCTATAACAATAAGCTAAAACATGGAGCTATGTAAGCTAGTAAACAAGCACAAGGAGTGGAGGCTACCCCCTCCATTTTTGGGACTTCAAAATAACATTTTAGCCACTGAAAAAGCTCTGAAAATTAGTGTTAAAAAGCTCAAAAAAAAGTTGAGGAAGAGATGGGAAACACAAGTGTAAAGGCTTAGGAGACAAGGTGTAAAGAAGGGTGGTTAAACCTTCTACCTTTAATAGCCTTAAACCAGAAGTTTCAGCCCATAAAAATAGTCCAAAAATAGTTCAAAAACAACAATAAAAGATGGAAGAGAAGTAGTGTAGAGATGCTCAAAATTATACCTCTTGAAGCAAGGTTACTCTTTTGTTCACAAACCACAAAGCTTACACTCTCAAGGGCAGAAATTTGGACTCAATAATCTCAGCAAGGAGAGCTCCAATATTGGTTTAGTAAGTTTTTGGGTAAGGTGTGTGTGTTGCAAGATAGAGATAGAGAGAGAATTTCAAGTTTTGGAGCTTTTGGAAATTTTTGTAACCTTAAACCATGAAGCAAGGCCCCTATGTATAGAAAAATAGCCTCACAGGTCGGAAATATCATGCTTGGAATAGCTGGAGCTTTTGGGGGACAGCTGGCTAAAAATATCTGTGTTTTTCACTAGTGGCCGGCACGCCAGAAGTGTGAATTGCCAGTCACAGAAAATCTGCTTTTAGGCCCAACTTCAAACGGGCATATTTCCTTTATCCGGACTTGGTTTTAGATCATTCTTGAGTCTAAATTGAAGCCCCAAAAGTCTAATTTCCAATTGTGGAAGCCTCACATATAAATTCTAAGTGTCCAAAGAGATATGTCTATTTTAATGAAGACTACTCATTTCTATCTTAATCGGATTGATGCCTAACTTCAAACGGCCATATCTCCCTCATCCAGACTCGGATTTAAGAGATTCTTGAGTCTAAAATGAAGCCCCAGAAGTCCACTTTCCAATGGTGGTAGCCTCACAACTAAAGTCTAAGTGTAAAAAGAGATTTTCCTGATTTAGTGAAGGCTACTCAGTTTTCTCTTAACGATTTCATGCCCAACTTCTTCCCCAACTAGTTTTCTTCCCTCTCCTCCAATTTTCTTCAACTCCAAACCTATAAATAAGAGGTTTAAAATATTTTTCAAAGATTTCACCTCTCTTTCATTTATTTTCACTTTGTCCTTACTCTGTTTACCAAAAAGTGCAATTTTTAATGAAATGCGAGCCTCGTTACATCGTAGAAACATTTTCAAAAACATTTTGAAAGAAAGGGTTTAAAGGTCTAAAATAGTTTTGGTCCAAAATGAGGTGTAAGATTGGGATTTAGAAGCTCTTCTTGCTAAAGAAATTGAGCGATTATACAACGTAACTTTCATTACCGAGTGATCAACCTGAGGCGCACAAGTCTTAAGGGCGGTCAAAAATAGGGTGTCTACAAAATAAAATGAGGAATAATTTGGAATCGGGTTAATAAATTTAAGATGATGTTCCTTCTTAAGTGTACTTGTTTTCAAAGAGAATTTATGGCTTCCTAATGATGAGACACAACATTTATGGCAAGGAGTTCTTAAATGTTCAAATGAAATTTTAAGAAAAAGATACTCCATGTATAATATTTTGAACTTACAAAATGTCATCTTACTATATGGTATCACCCTGCATGCATGATTATTTCTATCTATGTGATAGTTATTGCTTTAGAACTATGAGATTTCCTACTGGGCATTAGTGTTCATCCCTCGCTTTTTTTTTTTTCCCAGGATGAGAATTCGGATTCATTAGTTGAGGAGTTGAGAAGTCCATGAATCTCTTATGTGTAATCTCATTGTAGATGTGAAGGAAATTAATTTTGTACATTAATGTTTGTAACTATTTATTTGTAACTCTGTAGCGGAAGTTTGGCATGTATTATTGTTATTGTTGTATTCACTAAGGGAGAGAACATGTATTTATTATGTTTCTATTACTCAAGGGTAATAGATATTTGAAAAAAAAATGGACCTAAATTAAAGGCTTTTGGTAATGTTTCGAGCAATTAAAATTTTAGGGCGTGACACCATATGAAGCTTTATATGGATGGAAGTATAGATCACCTATTTGTTAGGATGATATGGGTGAAAGGAAGTTGTTAGGGCTCGAGATTGTGCAACAAATAGTGGACAAGATCAATCTTATTATTGAGCGACTTCACACTACACATTGTAAATAGAAACGTTATACAGATAATAGGAGACGTGCTTTTGGTGTTTGGGGTGAGAGACCATGTGTCCCTTAAGGTGTCTCCTATGAAAGGAGTAATTAGGATTTTCGTTCCTGATAAATTGAGTCTGAAATTTGTTAGGCCATTTGAGGTTTTAGATCGAATTGGAGAGGTAGCTTATAGACTCGCCCTATCACCTTCACTTACTGGAGTACATAATGTCTCTCTTGTCTCCATGTTGAGGAAG